CTGCCTGTGTCTCTGCCTCTCTCTCTCTCTCTCTGTGACTATCATAAATAAATAAAAATTTTTAAAAAATAAAAAAAATAAAAGATCAGATAGTAAATATTTTAGGCTTTTTCATACCTCTGGTCTCTATAGCAACTACTCAACTCTATCATTGTAACACAAAAGCAGCCACAGACAATACAAGAACAAATGAGCAGGGCTGTGTTCCATAAAACTATTTATGGGCACTGAAATTTAAATTTTACATATTTCTCATTTGTCATGAAAAATTACTCTAATTTTGATTTTCTTCCAGTGCTTTAAAAATCATTCTTGTAGGCTATACAAAAATAGACTATGGACCAGATTTTGACCCACTAGCCATCGTTCACTAACCCCTGTCCTAGGGGAATAAATATGAGAAGACCATAGGTGTTAAAACATGGAGAGAGAGAATATGATACCTGAAGGACAGATGATTTCAGTGTGGTAGGGGACATGACTGATTGGTATGCCTATGCAGGGAAAGGAGATTGATTCTATTTTAGGTAATCTGGATTGGTACTAGGTCAAATTCCACATTCTTTATTTTGACTTACTGTCTTAAAATTTATGAAAGGCAGGTTTTAGCTGTCCTTAGAGAAGAAAAGCAGAAGTAAGAAAAGGACATGTGACCTAGAGTTTACCATATGGTATGCAGAGCCAATAGGACTTTTTATTAGGAATGTCAGCTGGTGGTTTTCGTTATCAGTGAATCCTAGGAAGCTTGTCTGAGGCAGGGAGGAGGCAGTTAGCCATATTCCTCCTTAGCACAAACTACTTCATGTCATTGTAAAGCTCTCAGAGAATATGTCTTTTGCTAAGCTGAAAGACCCATAAAAATCTCTGCTTTTATGATATAAAATCTATACTGGTAAACTTTAAAGAAAATCCCATAAACTCAAAACCATGAGGGACCGTTTATTTATTAAAACAATATGAATGATTTACATGCAGTTGAATACAGCTTTTGTTGTTCTGTAGGCCAGCTCACCTATAACAATTGCATAAGTGATGGTGCGGTTCTTTATAAAAAGGGAGTATTCATTACTGTGATAGTGATATAATTAACACTTTTTGAGCAGCTACTGTGTGCTCCCATCTAACATACATTATCTCATTTATTCCCTCAACAGTCCTGCAGGGTATCTATTATTCTCCCTTTGAAGATGAAATTGAGGCCCAGTCATATACACGCAAGGTAGCAGTGCCAAATCTATGTCTCTCTGACCTGAAAGTTTATGCTATTTCTGTTGTACCATTGCCATGATAAGAAATGTTGACCAAAAAAGAAAAACAAAAAAACTCCAGAATTTGAAAAATCATCAACTATATTGCTGACTATCCTTAGTCAGTTTATGTTAATTTTATTCTGTGTGGTTGTTGTACAGGAACAGAATAATTTCAGCACTTTAAAACCTTGAAAAATCACACCAGTTGTGTCTTCTAAGATTTGTGATTTGTGTGTCCGTTAGTTGCTTGCAGTTTGTAGGCAGGCTGCAACCTTGAACTATTCACTGTCTGAACTTGCCCTCAAAGAATTCTTCCTGCCCTACCTCTATCAAGTGGCAACCAATGAAAAACCCACAAGCTCAGCAGCTGCAGCTCTGGAAAGCTTCCATCAAAACCCTCATTCCCACATTCCCTTTGAAAATCACAGAGCTTGCTGTTATCTTCTTGAAGGTCATGACTAATGCTTATAAAACTTCCATAGCAAACACTGTCTACAAGACCCGAATTCCTTAACTTGAGCTCTTGGTTAAGTTATGTACACCAAAATATTTACTGCCAATCAACTGCCCTACCCTAAATTCTTACCTCATAACCTTGAAAGCAAATATTAGTATAGGAGCATTCTAAATAGTAAGAAAACTGGAAAGCTTAATGAATTTCAGAAAGTGCCTCTTTCCAGATCAGAATTGAACGAAAATCCCTGGTATATTGAGTATATGAAGTGACTTAGCCCTGTTCTTATCCATCAAAATTTTATTCTTTCCATGAATTGCTTTTTGGATTCAGAGATCAAGTATGCAGTAAACCTGTCTCTGAGGAAACAATTTTATTTTTTTCTAAATGTAGAAATGTAGTATAAAGGTGGCTATTTTGTGTATGACCGAGTGATACTGAAGTCCAGTTTTTAGCAGCCTTTTCAGATATGAATAATGTTATTTAATCCAGATCTTTGAAACCACAAGCAGACACAGTATGGATGTTTGATTGAAGAAATATGGTTGTTATTATTCACCCTGCCATGCTTTATTTTGCTTACATTAATGACCCATTTAATACACTTAAGAAAAAAAAGTAAATTTGCATCATCATCATCCATTGAAATTGATAGGACTGGATGCTGGTGATTATAGACACAAGACTATCAAGAGATAATTTTTTAATGATCGCAATGATCAATGATGATTGATTTTTCTAGACTGTCCCATGAGTATGTCCAGGAACTCTGGGAGGAAAAAGAGCTGCAGCCAGGAGACAAATACATGCTACTGCACCACTTATTGTCTGGAGGAAATATATGTTCATGGCAGCAGTAATACGTTATTTGGTTTGTATTTATTTATAATATACAGGCAGTAGACTGTTAGCATTCTGATTGTGCCCAGACATAATAGAAAAGAATTCGCTAGCAATTTCATACTAGCTTTAGTAAGGAATGTACTTTTTGAATCAACATTGGTTAAAAGGTTGTCATTTTAGTTCTAGTAACCCCAAGGGTTCTTTCTGTTGCCTAAATTATGGAGAGAATTATTTGGGGTCTTAAATCCCACCTGAATTGACTGCTCTGGTCACTTTAGCGTATTTCATTATCAGTAAAACTGAGCAGACATATATTTCTTTAATATGACAAAATATCTACTATTTGGGTAAGATAGTGAATTCAGATCTGTTGTGGGGAAAGGGAAACATTCATAAGTCAAAAGAGACTTTTCTTGAAATATTGTTGATAAAGAATATCAGTGTCAGTTTTGCTAATGGGAAGGAAAGGCATGGTTTTATAAGCCAAGACTTTCTGTTAAATAAACAGCCTCAAGAGAATGTCCATTCTCATCTGTGAACAGTGTATGCATGTAAATATATCTGTTTGAGTTGAGGTTTTCCCCCCCAGAGTAGGATATCTCAATGACTGCAATTTTTTTTTTTACTTTTTGTTTTAATATTTTGACTATCAGTTATTTAAGTATCAGAAAACAACTTGGGCTGAGGTGCCTGAGTGGCGCAGTTGGTTAAGCATCCAACTCTTGGTTTCAGCTAAGGTCGTGATCTCAAGGTCCTGGGATCCACAATCGATGGGGAGTCTGCTTGAGTTTTTCTCCCTCTGCCCCTACCCCCATTTTCTCATTTTTTTTCTCTCTCTCTTTCTCTCTCTCTTTCTCATAAATAAATCTTTTCAAAAGAGAGAAGAAAAGAACTTGAGCTGTCAAGAAAAGCCATCTTCATGTATTTCTGAAGCAAAATACTGGGTTTTGTCTCTCTCTAAGTAGCTCTAAGGCCTATTTACCTTATTTTTTAGGGATTATTCTAATATCATAAAGGTTATAAATGACTTTTATAAAATGACTTTTATAAAATGACTATCCAAATTTTTGTGTCTGATTAGATTGGTGGTTTTGCCATTAAAACAGTGGGACATTTTCAAGTCCCGTAGACCAAATCCATTAAAAAATTAGATTCATAAATAAATGAGCATTCTAAAAGCATTTTTTTCTTAAATTTTAAATGAAGAGACATTCACATGAACCTTATACTGCCCTCTGGTTCCTGGTAATCCAGGTGCCTTGACTTTTTTTCACCCCACCAAACTAATAAAGAAAATTTGCCATAGGGGAAGCAGAAACTTGTCTCATTTCATTAAGGGAATAGTTCTTTAATGCCTTTAAATTGTTTCATATGTTTTCATATCACTGTCATGTAATAGCTTTCCAAGAAAACTTTTTTATCATCTCTTTTTTATCCATTTTAATATTATATTTACTTAATCCATTATATCAAAATATTATAATTTCAACATGTAATCAGTTCAAGACAACTATTAATGACATATTTCATTCTTTTTCTGTTCTTGGAAATTTGTGTATTTTATACTTGGAGAGTATATTAATGTGAACTAGCAAGTGCTACTTCAAATGCTCAGTACCGCGTGGGACCAATGGCTATCCAATTGGATGGTGCAGCTCTAGACCATATTATTTTAAGCAATATGGCAGGATCATGGACCTTCAGTGTTCTAATTTCCTTCAGGAAAACATGTTATAAAGCTAGAGAGATTTAAATAAACTGGTAAACTATTTGTTCTGACACCCATAAAATCAGAAGATAAATCTAAGAGTATTTTGATACTATTGCAACATATGTAAAAAATTAGGTTTATGGGATTGAAGTGAATCTCTTAAATTTGGGGTAACCAAAAATAAATAAAATGCCAAGGGAAGATCATGATCATATTCTTCAAAATAATTTTTAGTCACTACCCGCATATTCTAAGGATATATTGAGACTTTCCTACAAAAAAGCATGGATCTTTTTTACTGAGGAGCTAAACATCTATTAATCTCTTAATCAAAGGATCATGCTGAATAAATGTGAATTGGTTGGACATTTTCCCCACTCCATTAGTTAATACAGAATGGAAAGGAATTATTTATGTATTTCTGAGAATGACAACCTTCCCTGTGCTTATCACATGTACTTAGAACAATCTAGCCAGAGATTGGAATTTCAAATTATACTTGGGATCATCTGTTGAGATTCCAGAAAAATAACTGGAAGATTTTGAGTTTCTATAAACAGGGATTTTAGAACAGCATAGAATTATGTCCATTAATTTTCCATTCTCTTTGAAGTCAAGGGTATCTAGGAAAATCTGACACAGAACTAGATCAATTTTCTCAAGCCACTTATATGTGAGAATAAATTAAGATATAACATTGGCTAAAATTTCTTTTTTTTTTAATTTTATTTATTTATGATAGTCACACACAGAGAGAGAGAGAAAGGCAGAGACACAGGCAGAGGGAGAAGCAGGCTCCATGTACCGGAAGCCCGACGTGGGATTCGATTCCGGGTCTCCAGGATCGTGCCCTGGGCCAAAGGCAAGCACTAAACCACTGCGCCACCCAGGGATCCCTGGCTAAAATTTCTACATGCTTAGTATGTTCGAGTAACAGATTTGAAGTTTATACATTTATGTGTGTATGTACCTTTATGCCTCCTTCTCTCATTTCTCCCCCTCCCCCAACGTCTGGCAATCACCAGTCTATTCTCTGTATATATGAGCTTGTTTTGTTTTGTTTAGGATTCTACATATGAGAGACTATATGGTATTTGCCTTTCTCTGTCTGACTTATTTCGCTTAGCATAATGCCCTAAAGATCCATCCATGTTGTCCTGATAGCCATTTAAATTATCTCAATAATATGCAGAACTTTAAATATAGGGGAAAAAAGAAACCCCATGACAACTGCAGAGGTCATCAACTCATGGCCATCTTTATTACATCTATATTCCTTTCCCTCACATTGGATTCTTAGGAAGCAAATCCTAGACATCATATAATTTCCATGGATTGTCTATTATGTGATTTGAGCTTTGTTAGGCTTTGAGGATAAAATGAATAAATAAGACATTATCCTTGTTCTCAGAGATATCATCAGATCTTTCTGGGGTGATAATGTTTAGTAGTCAATATAATTATAATATAAGTCAATTGTAACATAGACCCAAACACTAAAACATCTGAACCAGTTCTCAACATAGCAAAACCTAATGTAAAAGGAATAACTTTATGATATGCATCCCTGGGACCATTTTTGTGAAGACCTCTTTAAAGTATGAAAAATTTTCTAATTCCATTCACTAAAAGGGCCTCGAAGCAATGATACCCAGTAGCAATGAGCGCACATGGCACTAAAATTTTGGCTTCTAAGTCTCTTTCCCACTACAAGGAAATCGTGCTCCTTCGAGGAATGGCTGACTCCAGAGCTGGGGGAGGAAATCCAAGATGAGCCATGAAACATCTTTTCATGCCAGCAAATTAGGAAGTGCTCAAAAAATGTTAAAAGGGACCCAGGAACACAGGACACCTGGGTGGCTCAGCGGTTGAGTGCCTCCCTTCGGCCCAGGGTGAGATCCTGGAGTCCCAGGATCAAGTCCCACATGGGGCTCCCTGCATGGAGCCTGCTTCTCCCTCTGCCTGTGTCTCTGCCTCTCTCTCTCTCTCTCTCTGTCATGAATAAGTAAATAAAATATTTTTAAAAAAATAAAAGGACACAGGAACCCACTTGAAAGGACTCCCACAAATCTGGGACAATTTGAGCAACAAACTAATAATTATAATGAAATACAACTCATTATATAAAATAAGAATCTGTGAGTTCATAGAATAAACAGATATTCCATGAATAAAAAGGAAAAGCTCATTTTTTTAAAGATGTTATTTCTTTATTCATGAGAGACACAGAGAGAGAGAGAGAGAGAGAAAGAGGCACAGACAGAGGGAGAAGCAGGCTCCATACAGGGAGCCCAATGTGGGACTCGATCCTGGATCTCCAGGATCACGCCCTGAGCCAAAGGCAGACGCTTAACCGCTGAGCCACCCAAGCATCCCGAAAAGCTCTTTTTGCAGTAGAATGGCAATTAATAAATGTGGAATGAATGATAGATTAGAAAATCATCATTTTGGAACCATCGTGGTTACATTGATTCAAGCTAGAAGTATCAATGATTGCTAAAACTAGAAAGTGAAAGTTAACAAGGAACAGGACATTTATATATCTCAGAGAATCTCTCCACAAATTACTCATTAATGGCCATGGGAAATAGTAGCTTTAGAGGGGTAGTAACACATTAAGCAAGTGATCAAAATTACCATCACCAGTAATCAAACTGACAGCATGTGCCTCTGGATGTTATGTATTAGATAAAAAACATCTGTGCTATTCTTGCCCCTCAAAATGCATAATTAATTAAATATTAAGGAAATATCAGACAAACCCAATCTAAAAGATACTCTTAAAAATTGACAGTGTCCCAAAACATAAAGAATAACTGAGGAGCTATTTCAGAGTAAAGAAAACCAAAGATATGTGAAAACTGAATGTATGTATGATCCTGGATTGAATCCTGAACTAGGGGGAAAAATGCAGAAAGAACATTATTGGGACAATTGGAAATATTTGAATTAAGCTCTAGATTAAATATTAATATTGTTACTGTGTAAGTTTCCTGATTTTGATTATTACACTGCCATAAGGGTAAGTGATTATTTTTATTCTTAGGAACTATACACTGGTAACACTTAGGGACAAAAGGATACGATGTCTACAGCTTAATGAGATAGTTTAAAAAAACATGTGATATATATCTATATCTATAGATATAGATATAGATGATATAGATGGAGAGAAAATACAAAAGCAAATTTTAACAATTGGTAAATCCCTGGTGTTTAAAAAGTTTTTGTGCTGTTCTTGCAACTTTTCTCAAGTTTGAAGTTATTTCGAAATTAAATTTAAAATTCTAAAACAAAGCAAATATATACATGTGCACTCACACAGTTATCTTCATTTTAAATAAAGCCAACTCAAAATATAGAAATCTGAAAGTCATACCCAAAAGTAAACCAAGGAATATAAAATTGTTTTCTCCCAACAAATTTGCTATAGAATTTTTTTTAAATGGCCATCTTCATGCTAAAATTATAAAATTTGGGACACCTGGTGGCTCAGTCGGTTAGGCATCCAACTCTTGATTTTGGCTCAGGTCATGATGTCAGCCTGAAATTGAGCCCCATGTCAGGCTCTGTGCTGAGCATGAAACCTGCTTAAGATTCTCTCTGCTGGGATCCCTGGGTGGCGCAGCGGTTTGCTTCCTGCCTTTGGCCCAGGGCGCGATCCTGGAGACCCGGGATCGAATCCCACATCAGGCTCCCGGTACATGGAGCCTGCTTCTCCCTCTGCCTGTGTCTCTGCCTCTCTCTCTCTCTCTCTCTCTCTCTCTCTCTCTCTCTCTCTCTCTCTGTGACTATCATAAATAAATTTTAAAAAAAATTAAAGAGAAAAAAAAATTAAAGAGGAAAAAAAAAGATTCTCTCTGCCTCTCCCCCACCCCACTTGCACTCACTTTCTCTCTAAAAAAAAAAAAAAGAAAGAAAAAAAGAAAAACAAAATTATAAAATTTATAAAAATTTAATAAACATTGAAACACAATTTACCAAGCCCCCATCTGCAAATCGAGGTACACCTGCATTTGGTTTACCACAATCCTGGTAAGAGTTGCCATGTCCATCTGGCTTCCTTTGGAAGGCTTCTCACATAGAGCTGTGTATGAGTTTATACTTAAATGTTTTTGAAGAAAATGATGATGGTAATAACCTGCCCCCAAAATACGGATAAGGCCTGTGCAGATCTGGGACTCTACTTCAGATTTCTGTCTTCTAATTATCTGAGTAGCTTTTCAGGCCACATAAAACCATATTTAAGATCTGCTTCGACAAACTAGCTCTGAACCTCTTGAGTTTTTCCTTTTTCCTCTTATTAAATATAACATTTATAGAAATAGTAAGAATGGTGATGAAGTAATGAATCATTTATCTTGAGCCTATCTAGAAAATATTGCTTTACTACCCACACACACAAAAAAATGAGTAAGATGTTAGGTTATCCAAAAACTGATTAGCTAAGACCCCATCTTTCCTTTTTCTTCCTTTTTCTCTGCCATTTTGCTACTCACAGAGAATTGGAGTAGAAAGTAGAAATAAGTAAAACCAGTCAAATCTAGTTTCTTTTTTTTTAATATTTATTTATTTATGATAGACACAGAGAGAGAGAGAGGCAGAGACACAGGAGGAGGGAGAAGCAGGCCCATGCCGGGAGCCTGACATGGGACTCGATCCCGGACTCCAGGATCACGCCCTGGGCCAAAGGCAGACGCTAAACTGCTTAGCCACCCAGGGATCCCCCAAATCTAGTTTCTTAATAACAGTTTGGTTTAATTTTAAAATGAACAGATTTTATCTGTAATGGCAAAAGATTGGAAATAACCTAAATGTACTTCCACAGGACTGGTTAATATTAAGGAAATACAATGCTTTCAAAAACAAAGACTGAATGGTCTTAATGTATTGATATGGAAAGATCCCAAAAGTATATTGTTAAATCCAAAAAGCATGTACAAAACAGTCTATATTGAATGCTACCATTTGCATATACTAAAAGAAATAATATACACATATTTGTCTGCATATGTATAAAATGTCTCTGAAAAGATATGTTTGCACACAAGATTGTTTGCCTAAAGAGATGATAATTTGGCATCGGGGAAACATGTTCATTATTTTCAGCATTAATGGAGTTGAAAAACTTCTAAATTTAATCCATATAGAAGAAAGTAGAAATGTATACCTTTCACTTCTATTTTATTGCTATAGAAATTACTGTATACTGTACTATAATGATACTTCATCACGCACAAAGATCCTCCCAGATGTTTCACCATAATGATGAAAACTATGATGCATTTCATCTGATTAAGTTAGTCTGGTTCACTTATTAACTTGATCTCAAAAAAAAATTATCAACATTTTTTTCTCAAGTGTTCTTGATCACAGGAGTATATCTTATGAAAATGAAAAGAAGACACTTACAGGAATATTAAAGAGTGGAAAAATAAAAAGCTGATTTCAGTGGAGTTTTATCAAATACCAATTTCATGTAATACCCTATGGGAAGTAGAAGGATAAAACTTACTTCAAATTAGATAGTGTAATATTTAATATTCCTCTAATATGCAGAATACTAGGAGTATCTCAGGAAAGTCAAAAACCAAATAAGTCCTAGGAGATTTTTAGAAACCCAATAGAATCTAAAAGACCATCCTCCCTGGGATTGTTATTTTAATATAGCACCAAGCTCTTATACTTCCCTTTAACAGGATATTAAATGGCACATAGTAATTTTTCCCCTAATGGTTCTCTTTGTAGTTAAGGCTTTCTTTCTCCATCCACCTGCATTTTATAAATGGGTAAAAAGAATCACTCCAGGCTGTTTGAATGCTCCTTTTCCCTCCTGCATCAGCCATAGGCAGTGAGAAGTAG